GATGGATGGATAGATAGATGGATAGATAGATGGATGGATGGATGGATGGATAGATGGATGGATGGATGGATGGCTGTTTTGTAGAGTGGGGTCAGGTGTGTGATCTCAGTAGAACTCTTGCTGTTGTTCTGGACATGGTGAAGAACTGACTCACTTCCACAGCTCCTTCCGTCCTCCTGCAGCAGCTGACCTTCTGGACAGATACAGTAGTAGGATCCAGGAGTACTGATGCACCGGTGCTGACAGCCATGTTCTACAGTGTTACACAGGTCAAGGTCTGCAACAACACACACACACACACATATATTTGATTATTATTATTATTCAGCAGTTAAATGTTTTAGCTATCGTTGTTCGTTTCTTAAGACACATTAAGCTACATTCAGGTTAACAGTTAGCTTATCAACGTACGGTCCATACACTGGATAGAAGCCGTCATTCATGTTTCTCTCACTTTAACTCGTTTCTCAGATCCTGTTAGATTCTAACAGGATCTAAGAAACGAGTCCAAGTGAGAGAAAGTAAAGTCCACTGGAGAAAGGAGTGGGTGTGTGTGTGTGATGAGACTGACTGGTGCACGTCCTCTTGTCCTCGTTCAGTTTAAAGCCCCTGTTACAGTCACAGCTGAAGGAACCCGGAGAACTGATGCAGATCTGTTCACAGTCGTGTTTCCCCTCAGAGCAAAGGTCAATGGCTGTAGAGAGGAGGAGGTTGGGGGACGTGGGGGAGGGTAAGATGACGGCAACATTTTATTTGCTTCAAACATTTCAAATTGGTTCAAACTAGGAACTATAAGTGCCATTAAGTTGTTAGTCGGATTTTTGTGTGTCTCCCGTCTCATCCATGAGGGGGAGCTCTGAACAGTTTAGCTGAATATAGCTTGATGGAAACCATCAATTATGTTCTAACAGGATCCGAGAACTGAGTCAAGGTGAAAGTTAAGTCAAAAGGAGAAGGTAGCACCGCTCGGTGTGTGTGTCGGAGTGTGTGTGTGTGTGAAAGGAGAAGGGAAGAGAAGGGAGAAGCACCGCTCTCTGTGTGTCGGTGTGTGTGTGTTGGTGTGTGTGTGTACGTTAACGAACCAGTGCACGTCTTCTTGTCCTGGTTCAGTGTGTATCCTTGGTTACAGGCACAGGTGTAGACGCCCGGAGAACTGATGCAGATCTGTTCACAGTCGTGTTTCCCTTCAGAGCAAAGGTCAATGGCTGCACAACACACACACACACACACATACACACACATACACACACGGATTTAGTGCACGTGTGTGTGTGATCTGGTAACAAACGAGCTCAAGGAAAGACATTCTAAAAACGTTCGATTAGCGGTGGGTGGAGCTAAGATTAAGGTCACGTGAGTGCAGAAGAATGCAGTATGGAGAGGAAAAAGAATTACCCATGAGGCACCAGACTCTGACACAGGTTTTTTCCTTTCTGTACAATTACTGTTTTTATCATATTTCTTTTAATCTGGAATATAATTTTAATGCACAATATGAGATATAATCTACAAATAAAGCCTCTGTCCTGTCCTGTTCTGTTATGTTATGTCCTGTCCTGTCCTGTCCTGTTACATTATATTATGTGCTGTCCTTTTATGTCCTGTTCTGTTACGTTATGTTGTTATGTTGTTATGTTATGTCATGTCATGTTATGTTATGCTATGCTATGTTATATCCTGTTATGTTATGTCCTGTTCTGTCCTGTCCTGTTCTGTTACGTTACGTTCTGTTCTGTTACATTACAATATGTTATGTTATGTTACGTCCTGTCCTGTCCTGCCCTGTCTTATTCTGTTACATTATATTATGTGCTGTCCTTTTATGTCCTGTTCTGTTACGTTATGTTATGTTGTTATGTCATGTCATGTTATGCTATGCTATGTTATGTCCTGTTATGTTATGTCCTGTTATGTCCTGTTCTGTTATGTCCTGTTCTGTTACGTTACGTTCTGTTCTGTTACATTACAATATG